AAAAAGGACACAGTTAACAAAGGATTGACCCTTAAAAACATTAGCCCATTGCATATTCATACACCTCATACATGATGCATAAATTCCATTCAAACACAGGATTCTGTCTGGTCAGTGTCAGCTTCTTCCTCTGAATCCTGACTGAGCGAGATGGGAAGAAGTTTGTTCCTTCTGATAAGAGAGCAATAAATTCTCTTTCTCTGAAAGATTCAGGTGTCCTGTGGCTGCTACCTCACTGCAATTCCTCCCTTTAAAATAAATGTCTTACACAGCATCATTTCTATTTTAACATTTTTTATAACCCAAAACTACATTTACCACACTACTTAAGAGAATTAACACAGCACCACTCTCTAGCACAACACATTCAATATTCATTTTTATATTTGTGAAAAGCCAATCACAAAATTCGCATTTTTCACACTGGAAACCCCAATCCCGGGGGTCCCCGCACCGACCCCTCTGTCCCTGCAGGAGAAGCGGAAGCGTCAGACGGAGATCGAGAACAAAAGGCGGCAGCTGGAGGATGACAGGAGGCAGCTGCAGCATCTCAAGGTGAGAATCCCCCCTGGAGACCCCCGGGATCCTCCCCAGCTGGGGAGGGCAGAATTGTGACCCCCCTTTTGTGCCCCCCAGTCCAAGGCTCTGCGGGAGAGATGGCTCCTGGAGGGAGCCCCGGCTTCTGCCTCCGAGGAGGAAGAGGCCATGAAGAAACAGATGCAGGAGGACGAGGTGAAGACCAAGGAGCTGGAGGAAACCATCCAGAGGTAACAGGGCTGGTTGGGGATGGATGTTGGGGTGCAGGTAGAGGGCACAAGAGTCCCTCCAGAGACCCCCTGGCCACCCCTGGGCATCCCTGGGCACCCCTGGGCATCCTGGGCACCCCTGGACATCCCTGGGCATCCTTCCAGCATCCCTGGGCATCCCTGGATATCCCTGGGCACCCTTCCAGCATCCCTGGGCATCCCTGGATATCCCTGGGCACCCCTGGGCATCCCTGGGTATCCTTCCAGCATCCCTGGGCAGGTGGGTGCTGAGATTCAGGTGCTGGGAACAAGGCAGGGCACGCTGAGCTTGGAGCTGCTGTGTGACCGTGGTCACAGGGGTCTCAGTTTGAGGGAGGAAATGAGGATCTGACTCCACGTTTCAGAAGGCTTGATTTATTATTTTATGAGATATATTATATTAAAACTATATGCCCATGGTGGGATCTCTGCCATCCATTTGGTGCTGACCCCATTGGCTTTTGTGTCGGGGTCTCTAGCTGGTCACAGTGACCCCGAGAAAAGTTCAAAAATCTCTTTTCCCAGCCCAGTGCTTGAAGAAGGAGTCAGAGCTCTTCATTTCTCGGTCTCAAGGTTGTTTATTATATCTTATCTATAAAATTCTTTCTCCTGTCCTGCCGAGATCCACTCAACAAGACAGTCCAGGAACTCTGCCTGCCCCCAGGGCAGTCTTTATACTAAAAACTACGTGTACAATATTTACAATTACTTCCCAATACCTATCACCTATGTTAGACAGTGAGCTTCTACTCTAAACCAATCTGTAAGTGCCACCATCACAGCAGAAGATGGAGGCCAAGAAGAAGAAGGAGAAAGGCTGGACACACCCAGTTCCCTCCATCTTGCCCCCCTGAATCCCATTCCAAAAACCCCAAAATCTACTTTTCCACCTTGTCATAACTTCAGTATTATTTTACTTAAACTGTTGTGGCTTGCAGATCTTCATATAAGGTTGGTAATAATCAAACCCACAGATGTTTTGGGCTCTGTGCCAGGGTCTCTGAGCCCCCTGGCAGGGTCTTGGCCATGCTGGACAGCCAGAGGGATGTTCTGAGTTCCCACAGTTTTCCCCTGCAAGGTGACAGCCATGCCAGAGTCTCTGTGTCCCTGCTCCTTGTGGGGACAATCTGGGTGTCCCCTCTCCCCTGCCCTGTGTTGCTGCACCCCATTTCCCTGTCCCACCCTGCCCTCAGCCCTGGCTGTCCCTGCAGGCTGGAGAAGGAGCTGGAGATGCTGGAGAACAGCAGCTCAGTGGCCTCGACCAAGGAGAACCTGGCAGAGGCAGCAGCCAAGGAGGAGAAGAAGGCTGAGGCTGTCCCCAACACGCAGAAGGTGGGCAGGGCTGCTGGCCATGGGGTCGGGGTGCCCATCCCTGGGGGGTTTGGGGGGCTGTGGGTGGTGGGTGTGCACACAGAGGGTCTATGGCAGTTCCTGCAAGCTCCTTTAACCTCTCCCTTCTGTTTTTTGCAGAGTCCCCTGGGCACAGTTAAGGGTAGGTGAATCCTGATCTCTCGGCTGTGTTTCAGCACCAGCTGTGCCCTCCTGGTGCCCTGAGGGCAGGATGGGTGGGCAGAGCCGGACCAGAGCCCTGTGCCCGTGTGCCCTGGGTGGGGGAGCCCTCCCAGGTGCCATCCACGGGGCACACGCTGGGGCACAGCCGGTCTCAGGCAGTGTCTCCTCTCCATCTCCAGCTGACAAGAGGCTCTCCAGCAGCCCCATGAAGGCAGTGGAAGGCAGTGAGATGATGAAGGCGGGTAGGTGCCCGCTGAGCTCCCTGCAGGCTGCTCCCCCTGCCCTCTGTGCCACCCTCAGCTTGCTCGATGCCTTCCCAAGCGCAGGGCACTGAACATCCCTCCTTGGTTCTGCTTTCACCCCAACCCACGGCTGGTTTGTGGCTCTGGGCCCTGCCCTGAGCCCTGCTCATGTTTCTGCTGCAGTTCCATCCTCCCTGCTCTGTTTGCAGCTTCTCTGGGCAGGCTGAGGCAGCAGTGCCAGGCACAGGGAGCTGGGGGCCACACGGGGCTGGGGGGGTTTGGGGCAGAGCTCAGACTGGCACCAGAATGGGGCAGAGCCCATTTGGGGTCCTTGGATGGGGCTGAGGGGACCCCGCTGCTGGCCAGGAGTGGAATGGAAGGAGAGATGCCAAGAGTCACCCATCCCATGGGGGCAGAGGGGCTGTGCCAGCACCAGCACCCTCATGGGGGTTGCAGCTCCCTGGGCATGACCCTGGCCCCCAGCCAGGCCCAAGGGCAGGATTTCTCACTGCCTGGACAGACGGACACGGCCCCAGAAGCACAGCAGCCATGCAGGTAAGGGGATGCCAGCAGCACCAGGATGGACACAGGTACCAGGATGTGCCAGGGGTGTCACACCTGCCTCTGCCATTGACTGCTCCTTGCTGCTGCCTTGCTAACACTGCTGGGCCCTGCTGGGCACCTCAGAGCCCTGCTGGGCACTGCTGAGCCCTGCTGGGTGCTACTGACCCTTGCTGGGCATCGCTGGGCACCACTGAGCCCTGTTGGGCACCATTGAGCCTTTCTGAGCCCTGCCGGGCACCACTGAGCCTTGCTGAGCATCACTGAACCCTGCTGAGCCCTGCTGGACCCTGCTAACATCACTGAGCCCTGCTGGGCACTGCTGAGCACCTCTGAGCCCTGCTGAGCATCACTGGGCACCTCTGAGCACTCCTGAGCCTTGCTGAGAACTACTGAGCCCTGCTGGGCACCACTGAGCCTTGCTGGGCACAGCTGGGCACCTCTGGGCACCATTGAGCATTGCTGGGCACCACTGAGCCCTGCTGAGCATTTCTGGGGACCACTGAGCCCTGCTGGGCACCATTGAGCCTTTCTGAGCCCTGCCGGGCACCACTGAGTGCTCCTGAGCCCTGCTGAGCATCACTGAGCTTTGCTGAGCCCTGCTGGACCCTGCTAACATCACTGAGCCCTGCTGGGCACTGCTGAGCACCTCTGAGCACCACTGGGCATCTCTGATCCCTGCTGATCACCACAGCGCTCCTGCCATGCTCTGTCCTGGCACCACCCTCAGAGCAGGGCACAGGCAGGGCCAGGGCACCGTAACCCACGCTGTCCCCTCTGTGTCCCAGCCATGTACTCGGTGGAGATCACCGTGGAGAAGGACCGAGTGACTGGGGAGACCAAGGTCCTGTCCAGCACCACCATGCTGCCCCAGAACCACTGCGTGCAGGGCGTCAAGGTGTACGAGGACGAGCTGAAAGGTACGGGCCAGGGGACAGGGAGAGGCCACCCAAATGTCCCAGCAGGGTGAGGAAGGGCAGGGGATGCTCCTGAGGGCAATCCCTCACCAACCCCAGCACGGTGGATCACAGGATTGTCATGGCAGCACGGTGTGGATGGTCCTGGTGGTTTGCACATCGTCACCCTGCGCTGCTGGAGAGCAGAGAAGAGGATCTGTGCTGTCCAGCGCTGTCCCATGGGCAGGGAACGTGCATCAGCACCA